GGCAGGACCATACGCTATCTGAAGCCTCCAAGGGAGGATCTTTTCTTACTTTTTCCTAGCTCTGGCAGTTGTCAGCAATCCTTAGTGTTTCTTGGTTTACAACGGCATAACTCCAATCTCTTCTTCTGTCACTACATGATCTTCTCCTTGTCTGCCTGTCTCTCTATCTCATCTTTTGTAAGGACTCCAATCATATTGCATTAGGGCCCAGCCTAATGACCTCATCTTAACTTGATTATATCTATGAAGACACTTTTGCTAAATACGGTCATATTCACAAGTATGAGGGTTAGGGCTTAAATGTCTTTTTGAGGGACACAATTAAACCCATAACAGAAACTTTTTCTACATTCCTCAAACTTTGACTCTGACCCCTTCCTACTGTCTCTGAACAGATGGCCTCATCTCCTACCTCACAGAGAAAATAGAACTTAGAAGCCATCAGAATGAGACTTGACTTCCCACCATTCAACCAACAAACCTACTTTTATTGTATGTGTGTGTCTTTTTTTAATTTTTTTATTAAATATTTTGCTTTATTTATTCATTAGAGATACAGAGAGAGAGGCAGAGGCAGAGGGAGAAGCAAGTTCCCTGTGGGGAGCCTGATGCGAGACTCGATCCCAGGACCCTGGGATCATGACCTGAGCTAAAGACAAACGCGCAACCACTGAGCCATCCAGGTGCTCCGTGTATGTCCTTTCTTCTCTTCATTTCATGAAAGAATTGCTGCTTTTCCTATTTAAAGCTAATCTCTTAAGGGTTCTTCAAACCTGACGTGTCCAAATCTGACCTTATCATCTTCCTCTCAAAATCTGTTCCTTCTGTGTTCTCCTTCATTGTTCTTGAATGGCACATGGTCCACCCAGTTGCCTGAGCAAAAAAGTTCAGAAGCTTTACCCTTGACTTTGTTTCTCCCTTACTCTGTCCATCCCAACATTTCCCAAGTTCTGCCTAACACACCAGAACCACAACTTCCTTGGGTTTGTACACTACATGTCTATTAATGAAGTCCATACTTCATCTTTGCATTTAAGCACCCACATTATATTCAATTGATTCAATTCAGTTCACAGCTACCTGTAATACTCTCTCTTTCTCATCTGAAGTTGTGAAATCATATTTTTAAAAATATTTTATTTATTTATTCATGAGAGACACAGAGAGAGAGAGAGGCAGAGACACAGGCAGAGGGAGAAGCAGGGTCCGTGCAGGGAGCCCGACATGGGACTTGATCCCAGGACTCCAGGATCGTGCCCTGGGCTGAAGGCAGGTGCTGAACCGCTGAGCCACCCAGGGACTCCTGAAAGCATATTTATATGGTGGGTTTAATGCATTCTAATGGATAATTGGACTCCCCTCCATTTTATTTCATCTCTTTTGATTCAGCCTATTATATTATCATCCTAGCATCCTTTGGGATCTTTATTTTTTTTTATTTTTTATTTTTTTTTTCCTTTGGGATCTTTATTTTCTCCTTCATTCATGCATGGAACTTGAGGATGTGGTCGGTCATTGCAAGATAAGAGAAGTCAGGTAAAGTGCTAAGCACAGTACCTGACACATAATAAGCGCTTGATAAACATTTACAGTTGTGATTGTTATTATTATCTCAACACTCAGCATAGCATCTGGGCCATACCAAAGCCTCAATAAATATTTATTGATTAATGAATGAATGAATGGATCAAAGGTTGATGGAATGAATAAATATCCCCTCTCCAAAATCCCAGGTCCATTAAGTTTGATACTCTTATCCCTCTTCTATAGACAAAGAAACCAAGGCTTAGAGAGTTTCAGTTGGAAAGTGGTAAAACCAGAACTGGAATCCAGATCTGCCTGACTCCCAAGCATGTATGACTAATCCTTCCTTACTCTGCTTCCTTACATGTGACACAGATCAAAAGAACTAGTTGTGAAGTCAGAGTGAAGTCTGAGAGGTTTCCCCAAGTTGTGTGTCCAGACTTTAGAAAAGCAGATTCTCCTACATATGGTCCTGGGATATAGGGATGTGGAAGGGGCTAAAAGATGATGTCACAGCACTAGGAATCTCACCTCTTTCCACCCCTATGGGCCTCTCATCTTCCCTGGCCTAACCTGTATGCTTAGCTATTTCTCCCCAGAAACTAACATATTGTGTGTCCCTAGGGAGAAACTTAGGAACAGGAACGGAAGCCCTAGGAAGGTAATTTAACTACTTGCCAGGACCAGAGTCAGTGGAATTGGAGGTCCAGAGGAGTAGCAAGAATGGTACAAAGAATACTAAGACTTGGGCAGCCTGGGTGGCTCAGTGGTTTAGCATCTGCCTTCAGCCCAGGGTGTAATCCCAGAGACTCGGGATCAAGTCCCATGTCCGGCTCCCTACATGGAGCCTGCTTCTCCCCCTGCCCTGTCTCTGCCTCTCTCTATGTCTCTCATGAATAAATTTTTAAAAATCTTAAAAAAAAAAAGTATACTATGACTTGCAGGCGGCCTGCATTACCACTTTGGGTGTCAGCTTCCTCATCTATAAAATTAGGAGTAGAAGTCCTTACCCTACCTGCCTCACAGGGCTGTTGGAGACACAATAATGATAACCACTAATATTTATTGAGTGCCACCACTATGCTGGCCATTGTGTTGACTGTCTTTCATACCCTCACAGTTAGCCCTATGAAATAGGCATATAGTCTACACCTCCCCCCTCCTTCCCCCCCCCCCAGCCCCGCCCCTACAAATGAGGAAACCAAGGTTCATGGAATTAAGTTACTTGCCCAAGTAACTCTAAATGACAGATCTGAAATTCGAAACTGGGCTGCCTTTTGAGTACTTCATAGTGGTGAGGGTGTTTGTGAACCTCAGCTGGGAGCCTGTTTGTGAATCTCAAAGAATGATACAAGTTTCCTGCCCTGTTGCATTCAAGTATCCTGTACAAGTCTACAGCTTATTCTGATTGAGCCTGGAGATGGATGCCTGGTAGAGATCGTTGTCCAAGGAGGCAGCTGATCTGAATGGTTAGGATAGAAGAGCTGTTTCCCACAGGGACCTGACTGGATCCCTATAGTCTGGGGAGGATAGGGGGAGGGCACACAGTCTGAGTGGCTCTTTTGTGAAAGCAAGTTCTAGGGCAGGTTGAGGTAGGAGACAAAGCTCCTAGGTACCAAGCCAGACCACAACAGTCAATTTGGTGCTCAGGCCTTCAGCAGGAAGAGCACAGGGGCTGAGATGACAGGAAGCCCTCTGACAGGGCTCAGGCAGGGTGCCACTCCAGTCTGTCAGACTTTCCAAGAAAGTAAGGACACATAGCCCAGAAAATCAGTGGGTGTAGAAGCCAGCCCCACCTGTAACCCCTTCATCCTCTGCCTCTCTACCTTTGAGTTTCCAGCCACCCTGCTTCTACACTGCTCTCCCTGTGTCCACAGGCCACTGGTTGGCTTCCCCAGCACCGCCTCCAGGCTCACTCTCCTCACTCACACCAGAACTCTGTCTGCTGTGGCAGCTCCTTTGTTTACTGCCAGCGCTCGCAGGGCTGCCACCAGCCAAACACAACGAAGCCTGGCCAGGGAGGGCTAGGCTCCAGGTGCAGACTGGCCCCTAGGGACAGGTAATGGCCTCCAAGCCAGGGAGGCAGCTCAAAGGTAGGCTGCCCCCTGCACTGGGTTCTTGTTTCAGATTCTGACAACCCAGGTTTCAGGCCGAGAGGGAAGGGACACAAGATCTGCCCATAGCTGGGCAGGAATCCCTACTGTTGAAACAGCTTTGGCTAGGAGCCCTGGGAATCAGAGACCCAGCTGGAGAGAGGTGGGGAAAATGTTGAGGCCCCCTGGGTGGGAAGCAGAGGCCTTCTCCTGCCTTCTCCTGCCTTCTCCTGGTCCTCCCTCTCTTCATCCTGAGTCCTTAGAACAAAAACTTAGGTGCCCACATTTCTCTACCAGAGGGCTTCGTTCCCCTCCCAAGCATTCATGCCTCATGCCCCCGCTAAGGAGTCTAGTGGATAAAGGGAAGTGGGCATTTACTCTGGGCCAAACCCCAAGCAGGAAACATTGTCAGGATATGTCTGGCATTTGTCTGTCTAAGGTTAGTGGGGAAGTTACTTACCTAATATATAGTTACGTATTTGTATAATATATAATGTAAAAAGGAGGGACTTATACTCTGTTTCTGGAGCTGGAGTGATGGGTAGGAGGTGATGGATGAGCTGGGAGAGGAGTGGTAAAGGTGCCAAGCTGGAGGGTAACAGGGCCACAGACAAGATCACACAAGGAACACTGATCAGTGGCAAAAGGAAGATGCCCCAACAGGAGAGGAGCAGATCCCTGCCAGCCCAGGTTTCCCACTAAAAGGTAGAGAACCCTCTAAATGGTGGCCATTTGACTCTGTGAGTAGGCAGGGAGGTGAGGCACAGATAGGTGGATGAAGTGGGAATGATTTTAGAGGAAATGAAATCCCCAATTTCCCTCCCATGTAGGGATCCATTTTGGAGGCAACAGTTTGACTCAGGAATGTCAAGAAGAAAACCTAAGTCTGTTGCCAGGCCCCAGAAGAGCAGATGTAGCTCCAGACCAACAGGCCTTTGGAAGGAAGGGAATGGGGTTAGAGGTAGCGTTGGCCCTGCTCAGCCTGTACTCTCTGTCCCGTTTTCCTGCAGGCAACCCACCTCCCTTCCCTGGGTCTGTCATTCTTTGAGGGGTCACTGGGTCTCCTGGAGTAAACAAGAAATTTGCCACAGTTTTAGTAACAGTTTTGCTTTTTATCTCATCAATATACATTTTAATCTAACAGTCTAACAGCCTCATACTCCTTACCCCAGCCCAAGCCCTCACCCCCTCTTGCCCACCCCCGCCCAATCAGCATCACATCTGCCCAGGGGCAAGAAATTGCCAGGCACAACGGTGATTCAAGGAGAGGGTGGCACCTGTGGCTCTTCCAAGAGGAGCCCTCCCCGGAGAGTCCAGAAACCAAGAAAGCTCCAGGTAAGGAGAGATTGAGGGCTGAGTCCCTTTGGAAAGCAAGGTCTCCTGGGTCTTAGTCCCATTCAAGTCTGTCTTCCTGGATCAGGGCAGCAGAAGAGCAGAAATCCTCAGACAAGGGGACTTGTGGATAGAAAGGAACCTCAAACCCAGTCCCACTCAGAAATTAAGAGCAAGGCTGTTGGAACCCCTCCTTCCACACAGGCTGTGTAGGTGCTTTTGGCTGCTGCTTCCCAATCTCTTTGCTCCTGGGAGTGTAGGGTAGGGCTCTTGTGACCAGCATCCTGGGATGTGCCCCCCAGGAAGATGGAGGGCCAGTGCTGCTACCTGCAGCCACAAGACTCCACAACCATGTCCTCATATTGCTTATAGACCACGTTGTTGGCGGAGTCAATGAAGAGGATGCTGATGGGACTCAGTCGTGTGGGCACACAGCAGGTTGGTGGTGTGGACTCAGGGTCCATGGAGTTCATCAGGGTCTGGATGACTGCGTGGTTCGTGGGCTCCAGGTGGGAGCGCAAGGGGAACTCACATAGCCCCTCACAGTGGAAGGCCTCGTACTCAAGGGGTGCAATGATCCAGTCATCCCAACCCATGTCTTTGAAGTTGACATGCAGTGCCTTCCGACTGCAGCGGGCCTTGGGGTTCTTGCTGGGCCGTTTGCCCTGGCGCGTGGCCAGTGGGGCCCGCCTTTTTCGCCGCTGGCTGAACAGGTACTCATACACAGTCTTATCATCTTGACCTGATCGGGCCTTAATCTCATTGAAGAACAGGTCCCGTTTCTTGGTGCGGCCAAATACCAGGAACAGGGCCTTCTCGTGGACCTGCCTGGCAGCCCGGTCAAAACCCAGGCCACGGAGGTCCACGGCCCGGCCCCGTTCCCAGGCCTCCAGCTCCAGGCACAGCTGGGCCGAGTTCTTAAAGTTTCGGAAGAGCTTCCAGATGTCGAACACCTCCCAGCCAGATCCGTCCAGGCCTGGCACGGAGCGCACATCCAGCAGGGCTGCCGGCTGCCGGCCGCTGGGGCAGCTGGACAGCTTCAGCTGGGCAGCCCGCCCGATGCTGGGGGCCACTGGCTTGGCCGTGTCCGAGGGCTTCTTCCGCAAGATCCGCAGCTCGGCCCCTAGCAGCCCATCCTTCTCCAGGGCACTAATGTCAAACACGTACCTCTGCTTTCTGACCACAGGACCTCGGTCATCTAGAGAAAACACCCAGAAGTCATTCCCTGCAACCTCACCAAGACAGCCAGTCCCCTCAGGGGAGGGCCACAGCTTTCTCCCCTCTGGAGACAGCTTTCTTTAACCTCTCCCCTACTCTGACAGAGGCCAAGACCCAAACCACTGAGAGCCTTTTTCAACATAGGGGAGCTTCCTAAACAGCAGACCAAGTAGAGTTGTTTATCCGTAGATGTGGTGTGGTGATTTGAACAATTCCGGGTGTTTTGTCAATGACAATGCATGTCAGAGATGCATCAGCCTTAAAACTGCCTCTAGCTATCCCTCCCCATCTGTTATCTTATATGATATCTCCTCGGAGAGATAGGTGGGGTGGGTATTATAATTAGCTCTATTTTTCCGGAGGAGGAACCTGAGGTTCAGAGAAGTTTGGTGACTCGCCCAAGATCACCCAGCTAGGAAAAAAAGCAGAGTTGAAACTCTAGTCTAGATTTTTTTATACCCAGTCCTGAGCTGCTCCCACTATACCTCAAGGAAGATCTTGGTGTTCTCGTTTTACAAGTGAGGCATGGAGAGGGGAAGTGACTTGTGTAAGTTAACACAGATAGTTCAAGGTAAAGCTATAATTCAATTTCCCTGGCTTCCTCGTCTAACGAGTTTGTTGTGTACAGGGATTACCCTGCTGGGTGTATAAGTGTGTGTGTGAATGACAGTTCGTGCGTGTGTGTGCATGTGTGTATGTATGATTGGGCTTACATGTGAATATAAAAGGTAAAGTATAGTGAGTGACGTGTGTATGATTGCACTTGTGTGAATATTTGAAGGATATGTATGTATATGTGTGTATATGTAAGATGATTCTGTGTATACATGTAAGAAGGTCTGTGTTCACATGTGTACATGTGTGTGTGATTCAGCATGTATGCATAAATATAAGGCTGTATGTGTGTGAGAAACTCTGTAGTGTGTCCGAATCAGCATGCCCTCCTTCCTAAATACCAATTTGCTATTGGGAAGCATTCATACATTGCTCTAGAAGGTGACTAATTAGGCCTTTAAACTCCCCATCTCCCCCTCTGCAAGCTCCCTTAGAGCTGGGGGGCACAAGGACTTATTTTATGAGCCCCCAAGGGGTCACAGCTTTCCCTGGCTGGGCAGGCAGCCAGGCCACCTCCCCCAACCCAGCCAGACCTGCTGCCTTCTGCTTCCTCCCACCCTGTCATTCCCCCACAGGCTAGCTCTAATGAGGAGCCTCTCCCCATCTCTGACCCCTCCCCCACCCTGCCAGCCAAAATCCCAAGATTCCCAGAACCAGAGCATAAGACCTACAAGCAATCCTAGCAATAAGTATCCATCTCCCTCTTCACACTTACAGAGAAACTGAGGCCCTGAGAGGGCAAGGGACTTACTGAGATCACACAGCAAAGCAGAGAGGGGAAAGCCAGAACAGTAACACTAGGTGAGCATAGGGAGAAGAGAGGGGAACAGATATCCTCCCAGGTTGATGAAAAAAATGATCTGCATTTAAGATAGAACATAAAGCATTCATATTTGAAGGACTCTCAGAAATTACCCAATCCAACACCCCTATAGTTGTGCAAATGGGGATACCAAGACCCCAAAGGGAAAGGGACTCTCTCAAGGTCACACTGTGAATTAGACCCTAAGTCTGCCACACCCCCACCCTGCAACCCACCCCACACTCCACCGTGATTCCAAGATGCCCCATTTAGTGTCTTCACCTATCCTGCCTCCTCTGCCCCCTGTAGCCTGAAGGCAAATTTGCAGAACCACAGCTCTCTAGAGATTAATTTCTCTGACATCTTAGAAAACCTCCAAACCTCCAGAGCCTGGAAAGTCTTGCCAACCCACCTAGGAACACAGCATGGCCTGGTAAGAGACTTAAAAGTGTGGTCCCCAAATCTGCCGCCAACTGGCAGGCCCCGTCTCCTGTCTGGGCTTCGGCTACCCCTTCTGCACCTTGCAGGAGTTCGCTCTGCAAGGGCCGGCAGCCTGGGAGCCTGGGAGCCGTGATGTGGGAGGTACGTCCCTGATACCACCCTGGGCCGATGCACACACTGTCTCCCGCTGGTGCAGCCGTGCAGCGGCATCAGGGCTCTGGAAGGCCCCTCCACACATGCAGGTGCCCCTCCCTCGGAGCCGCGCCCCTGCCGCCCCACCCCCTCACCTTGCCCTTTGTCAATAAAGCTGGTGATGGTGTTGGCCAGGCCAGCCTCCAACTTCACGCTGCTGTTGCCTCCCTTTCTGTCAGCATCGGACAGCGTCCTGTACAGCGAGAGCATGTACTCATGGGGCGTGATGGGGGGCGGGCGGAACGGCTCCTTGGGCTCTGGAGGGGGCCCAGTCTCCCTGGCCTTCTTCAGCAGGAAGGGGCCGGGGACAGATCCTGCCTTTGGAGGTGCCTTACCCCCAGGAAGCTGTCCCTTGGGGGTCACCGTCCGCGGTGCCGCCTGCCTGGTCTGGGTAGGGTGTCCTGGCTTGGGTTCAGGGCCACCCGGTCTGGGGGGCACCTTTTTAGGTTCATCCTTCTTGGGCTGTGTCAGGCCTCCCGTCTGCCCGGTGCCCCCCTTGGCCCTGGCATTGGCGGCCCCCCCACCATAGCTGTGACCCCCTGGTCTAAAGACGCTCCGGGCCAGAGGGGGCCTCTCCTTGGCTTCCGCTTTGGCCAATCCTGGCCTGGCCCCCTGGGGTCTCTGGCCCAAGTCAGGGGCACCCAACACAGTGCAGATGAATTCCAGGTCCAGCCAAGCCAGGTGCCAAAGCAAAAAAGTGAGGAGTTTGGGGAGTCTCATCCTCTGGCCAGCCGCTGAATGACACCAAAGAGAAGGGCGGCAGCAGCGAAGGTGCCTCTGGTTTGGCAGGAAAAACCATGAACGGAGTGGACCCCCAAAAGCAGCGGCAGCAGCAGGAGCGGCAGAAGGAAAGGCTTTCTCCTCAGTCTGAGACTCTTTAAGTCTGCCGGGTGTGTGTTTGTATCCAGTCCCATAGTGGAAATGCTCTCGTATCCAGACGTGCACCGTCTCCAGTCAGCAGCTGAAAATAACTCGTTCTTGAAAGGAGAAAGCCGACCGCCCCCTTTCTCCTGCACAACTGACTGAGGGCTTCAAGGAGGCTTGTATAAGGCTGAGGGATTTTTCCAAGAAGGAAGAATGGCGTAATGCTGCCTGTGTGCTCCAGTTTTGTTTTTTTTTTTTAAGTTTTGAATCCTTTCCAGTGAAAATACTTCACACACGCGCACACACACATACACACACACACGCCTGCAGGTGCTCAGAAAAATCTTTTACAAACCTGAACTCAGGAATTGGAAACGGAATTCCAACCCAAACCAATTTAATTACTCTCTGATGTCATGCTGTCTAAACTCATTTAAGTGCGATATATTTATGTGAAAAAAATCACCGCTGCCCTTTCGAGGCCACGGCTCACGGGGGCTCTTGGCACAGAGCCTCGCAGCAGGGCTCTAGGCTTAGGGGGCCCTCTCAGTCCGTGGAGCAGACTCAGGAGTCTTCACCTCCACCTCAAGGGCCAGCCCACCCCACCTTCCTGAGGAGAGATACTGAGGAATGAGCTCAAGATCTTAAGCCCCAGAAGCCTGGGGAGTGTGGGTTTTCAGTTAAGTCCTTGGGGTGTTTTAAAGCAGTTTCAACCCCTGCGTCTAGTCTGGGGCCTGATTTGTTGTTGGGGGGGTGGCGGCACAGATGGCAGCATTTACCCACGGTGGCTTTTATTTTAATAAACTTGTGGTGACCCAGAGACAGAAAAATATCTGTACCCACTACATCCCTCCCCCTAAGTCCCATTGACCGAGCTCAGATGATTTGTTCAGGCTTCGGGGGGCACTGCCACCCCTAAGCCCACTCTTTCAATGGATGCAGGTCCAGGGTGTACCTCCCTACCACCCCAGCAAAGACAGACTCCTGAGTTTTGTGGGAAAGGACTGGCTGAGTCCAGAGGTGGCAGCTTCAGCCTGGGGCAGCAGCGGCCCCTGCAGGAGGCTGGGAAAATGATTTCCCACATGATGTTTTTCTGGTAGCTCTGGAAGTCTGAATTTCAGCCGGACTCATGAGGGAAAGCTATTCCATTCACCTGAAATATCAATTCTCACAGCTAGAGGAGCCCTCATCCTGAGAGCTTCAGCTGAAAATTCGCCTCCTCTGGGAAGCCTTCCCTGATCCCAGACAGAGCCAACTACCCCTTCTTGTATCTGTCGCTATAACACTTGTCACGCTGAAAGAGGCAGTGTAGGGATAGCAATCAGGAAAGCTTCCTTCTTAGTCTGAGATTCTTTGGGCCTGCCTAATGGAGATCTGTTCTCATTTTAAGGTCACCAGATGGGTTTCCCGCATTACTTGGCACACAGTAGAAGCTCAGTAAGGGTTTGATGAATGAAAGATGAAACCAGGTTGGGGTGTCGAGGTACCTGACCAACCCTTTCATGGTGATGCTCCCAAATCCTTGCTGATCTTCAGAGCACAGCAGCATAACTTGGCCATTTCAAACTTCATGTGGTGCTCCTGGGTCAGAATACCCCGTAGAGTTCCATATCTCCATCTCAAAGGACCAAGGCACCATCAGGCACTCTTTGGGGCAGCTTTAAGGAAGAGCTGAATTCATTACTATCCCTCCCAGTTGCCCAGATTCACAACACCTGGCCTCCCTTTGACTTGTCCACACTGAAGCAGTTGTCTCTGACACTCTTCCTTCCTCTCAGTCCCTCACTATCTCAATCTTCCTCACAACTTACTACCATAATTGGCTTCTAGGCCTCCAAGATCTTTCTGTTCCAATGCTCTCCCTCTCTAAAACCTACTTATTGAAAAGTGCCAGCTCATGGGGCCCCGGGTGGCTCAGCTTGTTAAGCTTCTGCATTCCGCTCAGGTCATTCCCGGGGTCCTAGGATGGAGCCCCACATAGGCCTCCGTGCTCAGCAGGGGATCTACTTCTCCCTCTCCTTCTCCTTGCTGCTCCTCTGTTTGTACTCTTTCTCTCTGTGTGTCAAATAAAGAAATAAAATCTTAAAAGAAAAGAAAAAGAAAAGCGCCAGCTCATGTGCCCTCTCCTCCACGAAGCCTTCCCTCATCCACTAGAAAACTTTTTTTTAAGATTTTATTTATTTATTCATGAGAGAGAGAGAGAGAGAGAGAGAGAGAGAGAGAGAGAGAGAGAGAGAGAGAAAGGGAGAAGCAGGCTCCATGCAGGGAGCCTGATGTGGGACTCGATCCAGGGACTCCAGGATCACACCCCGAGCTGAAGGTGGCACTAAACCGCTGAGCCACCCGAGCTGCCCTAAATATACACTCCTAAATTGACATCACACATTTTCTGTGCTCCTTCCCACTTGGGCAGCTTAGAGTTTACCCAGTTCTGCCTCTGTCCCCTTTCTCAAATACAGTTCATTTCTTCTACTCTGTGTATGTATTTTTCCCATTTTTTAAAATCATAATTTAATCCCTATGACTGTGATAATTGATTTAGATTTCTATCTCCTCCATCAGATTATGACTAATCGGTACCATATTCATCTTTCACTTATTCCCAGCACTGGGCACAGGGTCCAGCATATAGCAGATTTTCAGTGTGTGTAGAGATATGGATGAGTAAATCTCTAACAGACACTTATATACAAAAGCCATAATTTTCAGCTTCAAGATATAGTTACTTATAGACATATCATGACTTCCCTGCTGGACTCTGAGTTCCCTACAGGGAGGGATTCTGTCTCGGCACTTATCTGGCACTTTGTAAGCTTGATTTAGTGAGCAAATGAAGGGATGAATGAATCAAACAACGAAGATGTCCCTGCACGTGGTTTGATAAAGAGTGAAGGCCCCTGGAGATGAGCAGACTGGTTTGGAATCCTGGTTCTGCTAGATGCTTTAGTGCATTGTGTGATTTTTGGAAGCCTCTACACCTCTCTGAAACTTGGAACAAGGATCACAAGAAGTACTTACATCATAGGGTGTTTGTAGGGATTCAATTAACTGAATCATAAAAGGTGAGTAACCTCTCACCTGACAAATATTCATAATAGCTATTATTTATTGAGCAGGTAGTCAAATAAACTAAACTCCAGTTTTCGCAGTCCACTGCATTTTTACCCTATTGATCTTCACAATAATCATATGATGAAAGTGCTCCTGATATCCCCATTTTGTAGATGAAGAAACAGAAGTTCAGAAAGGTCACTTTTTAAGCTTAATTCCTGCTTTGACACATTTTATGCCTAAGAATTTTAACTTGGCCTCTAGAAATACAAGAAGTAAAAGGGTAAAATTAAAAAAAAAAAAAAAAAAAAAAGGATCCCTGGGTGGCGCAGCGGTTTGGCGCCTGCCTTTGGCCCAGGGCGCGATCCTGGAGACCCGGGATCGAGTCCCACGTCGGGCTCCCGGTGCATGGAGCCTGCTTCTCCCTCTGCCTGTGTCTCTGCCTCTCTCTCTCTCACTGTGTGCCTATCATAAATAAATAAAAAAATTAAAAAAATTAAAAAAAAAAAAAGAAGTAAAAGGGTGGTGTAGGTGATGCTGGTATTCCTTTTTTTTTTTTTTTTTTTTTTTTAGAGAGAGAGAATTTAGATATTTTATTTTATTATTTTAAAAAAGATTTTTATTTTATTTATCTATTCATGAGAGACACAGAGAGAGGCAGAGACATCAGCAGAGGGAGAAGCAGGCTCCATGCAGGGAGCCCAATATGGGACTTGATCCCAAATTCCAGGATCATGCCCTGAGCTGAAGGCAGATGTGCTCAACCGCTGAGCCACCCAGGCGTCCCTGATTCTGGTATTCTTGGCTTTCAGTCAAGGTCTCATCCAAAGGACTGGGACTTCGGGGACATAGAGGAGTCTCAGAGTAGGGGCACAGGGGCTATTGTTTGGGGATCAGGGAACTCCAGAAATGGGATGGGAGCAGGGAAAGGGGACTCTGAGCTAGCTGAGAAGGCCCTCTCCAGGGAAGAGCCCAGGGGACGGACCTGGCTCTCACTATAAAGGTGACTAATCACTTCAGTCCCTTCTGGTAATTGCAACCAGATGCTGCCGCTGGCAACGCTTCAGTCCCAACATATTTAATTACTGGGACGCACAGTCCCTAGGCCTCCCAGGTCCCCCAACTTCCCCCACTCCTGTCAGCAATATTAATGTCAAACTTGAGGTAGAGGATAGAAGCCTTGGAAGCCACCGGCATGGAAATAATCCTTATAGTACCTTTTGCCATGAAGAACCTTTAAGTTTTATATGTTTCCCCATCCATTATCTCTTTGGTACTCCACAAAACATCCTCTTAAAGTTGGTGGGCCAGAGTATTATTATCCCCATTTCACAGATGAGCAAATAGTGAATTGAGTAATAATAATAATCATCCTTTGCTTTTTTTTCAGGCACTTAGCAATTTTCAAAGTGGTTTCACATTCATGATGCTATCTGAGTCTCCTGGGATCTCTCAGAGCCAGTCCAGCACACAGGACAGTGGCTGAGAGTCTAGCCTCCAGGATCAGACAACTCAGCTTGTGTCCTGCCTGTGCCTCTAACCAATTGGGTGACTGTAGATATTCATTCCTTTATGTACATAATTATTCAGCAACTATATATTGGGCGTCTACCGTGTTGACAGGCTCTGCACCTAAGCACTCAATATCTAGCAGTGGACAAGACAACCAAGTCTGGTGGAACCAAAATTCTGGTGGAAGAGATGGAAAAACAAGCAAACCAATGCATAACTTCAGAGAATTCTAAATGCGGTGAAGAAAAATTAAGTAGAAGTTCAGAAAGGTCACTTCAGAAGGGTCAAAGGAATGTTTGTTTTAGATAGGAATGTCTCTTTGAGGGAGTGAAATTTGAGCAGAGATCTGGAGGTAGTGAGGGA